TAATAAGAATATATACATGTATATCTTGCTATGTTTTTTTGTGTGTGTGCGTGTGGTTGTTATGGATGTATACCTATGGACATCCTTTTCGTTGTCTATTTGTGATTAAATATACTCTGAGAACTCATTGAAGCTTTGAAATGTTTTTCGGTTTATATATCTATATATTCAGTATGACATATGTATCCTTGTATTTTCTCAATTGGTCTTACATATTCATATTTGTATATAGTAAGTGTTTTCTGTCTCTGTGAATATATTCTACAAGCACATATAGGTACCCCAAGTCTGCAATTGCACACATCGTTACATTTGTATACGTAAATATATAGCTATATATTTAACATCATGCCAACGTATGATCAATCGATTCTTCCCTTGTTGGTGCGCTACACTCGCCTTTCGTTCAGCCTTTAAACAGTTTCTCAACTCTACCGTATTGGTAATTTCGTATCCAGCTACCTCACTCTATATCCTCTTACTCTCCTTCACTCACAGGCAGCCGGCTGGAAATGGTTCCCCGAATCCCAAGGACTCGTCACAGGGGTTACTGTGGCTGGGTTTGGCCTGGGAGCCTGTATTTTCAACCCCATTCAATCGTGGTATATCAATCCCGATGGACTGTCCTGTGAGTACGGATGCCCTCGAGAAGTCACCGACCGCTTGCCTGACCTGCTACGCTTACTGGCCACGGTGTATGTCTGTATACAGATCCTCATGTGCTTCTTTATATGCAACCCCCCCGTGACAGACAACGCGCTGCATGCCAACCACACAGCCAGCGGTAGTGATAGCTATGGTACATACCAGGCCATTCCCACAGACGATGGGCACGGCAACTCATCCCTGCACCAGCCCACCGACCCCGCAAATACCAGGACCACCGCCCCACCTGAAAAAGACGATGACGAAGAAGTCATTGTCCACTACCGCGCAGGCAGTAAAGTGTTTGACCTGGACCAGCCTATCCTCGCGCTGGCGCCGTCCAAGGTGTTTGTGTCGCGCGATTTTGTGCTACTTTACCTCTGCTTTGGCTTGTGTGGCTGGGGGTCGACCTTTGTGTCTGCCAATTGGAAGTTGTTCGGAAACTCGCCCGAGGGAGCGCACATTTCCTCGGACTTGTTTCTGTCGAGCGTTGGGGCGTGTGCGAGTATATTTAACGCTTTGGGCCGTATTGTATACGGCCGGTTGTTTGACTTCTACGGGTTCAGGAGGACGGCGACGGCGCTGACGAGCGTGTTCACATTCCTGTTGCTAACCTTTTATTGTACGAGGTTTCTGGGCAAGGCAGCCTTCTTCGCCTGGGTGTGCGGGTATGTGGCGACATGCACCCTTCTGTTAATATGCTCAGTTGTAACTCCTGGTTTTATTCCTACCTGTGGATATCAATCGGAGATTTTTGTATGGGTGCCATTGTTGTATGCTTGGATGGGTGTCTATAGAAGCGGTATATTTAATTGACTTACTGTGGTCTATGTTCATGCCTGCATGTTGATATTGAATCGTTTTAGAAGCGATCTCGGCTTTTCGCGTACTTGAGCAGCTTGCAATTGTGTGTGAGTTGGTATTGAGGCAGGCATGTTAATACCATTCTTTTAGTCCAGGTACTTTGTACTCATTCCACACTTTCTATTACGCCATGCACACCACCAGTCTCTTCTCCTCGCTCGGGGGAGTGTACGCGATCTTTCCAGGGTCTGTAGTGAAGAAGTGGCCCTACAAGCCAGGAGTTATTTATGGCGTTTTATTCACAGCCAACATAGTTGTGACGGTGGCTGGTTCCATCGTAGCTCCCATTGCTTTGACTAGACTAGGCTGGGCGAGCACAATGATTGGGTGTGGAGCTGGATCTCTAGCCTTAGCTTTGCTTCTTATAGTTGTGTATCTTGGTAATTCCATGGATGCGACCTCCAAAAAGAAATAGTAGTAGCGAGGATATGTATATATATAAATAATAAAAGTAAAAGGTTATGAATGTAAGCGCGGTGTTGCACTGAGTGAGAATCTCGTAGCTTACCGGAGCATGCCCATACTTTAATGGCATTACTCAAAGTCAAGCACAAACTTCGGCCTCTACATCAGTCCCCACGATTGCATATGTTGGTAGCAACATTTACTATCATTCGGTTTGACTAGTAGAATATACGTCCACTACAACTAGATCTCCCCTTCACTGCTATTGACATCGCTACGAACGATTTTAAGGGGGGTGATTGAAATGTGCGATAGTATATAGAACAATGATCACAGGATTCCAATTCCTAGGCAATCAATGCGCTAAATCAATGCAATCATACTATAGTGTGTCCCCGTCAATCCGTTAGTCTGCCAAACATAGTCTCGCAGAGTTCAGGGTTCAGACTCTCTCGCCAGCCGTCGGCCGTTACTCGTCAGTCGTCACTCGTCAGTCGTCAGCCGTGCCCGTCACTGTCACTGTGGTCACTTACATGGCAGATATGTCAGATGATTCAGTCCCATGGGCCAGGGCTGAGGGCTCACAAACTCACTGGCCAGAGCCAAATAGCCACACACTCCAGCCACGCCTACACGGCCACACCCATCGCAGAATCAATCACTGCTAGAGAGACTTATGTAGAGGCATTGAACTTTGGAGGATGAACTCCGGTGGGGACGTGGCTAACTTTAAATTTCTATATTTATTTTTATCACAAAATATAAGTTGAATTTTATTTTTTTAACTTTGGATCCGCATACTCTCTTGGATAAAAATTTAATACCGTCTCCAATTTTATCGGACTTTTTTATATATTTTAAAACTAAATTACTATTAGTTTAGCTTGTTGACTTTTGAGGACATTTGACAATGTTGAGTGTAAAATCGTGTTGGTGTACGTAGCTTTCATATATTTTTTAAAATACATGGTGTTTATATTTTTTTTTGAAATATGTATTTTTACATATTGACTTTGAGAGAC